ACTGGCAGCTCTCATGTAAGTGTGTGACACACTCTTGTACAAACACACATCCTGCTGCTTTATGATTCATGCTTATGGGGGAAAACCACAGTTTGAGAGTACAGGTCTGAGACAGGATGTGACACCTGAACTACATGAAGAGCATCCTATCACAGTTACTTCATAATGTGCAGTTTCACACATACAACATTAATTTCATCCCCAATGCAAGTTATGTCAGTGTTTGCAAATTAGGTTAATATGCAAAGCTTCAGTCAGTAGTACACGTGATAATGATAACACGTAGTGTCTGACCTATTTAAATCATGCAGAGATGTTGGTGTCAGCTTTAAAAAGCTTTAAATCTATTGGTGGCTAGATGCTAAGGAAAATAAAAACGCTAAATTGGCTTTTTTTTTTCTTTTTTTTTTACTCAGCATCTCCCTCTAGTGGAATATTGTTCACTTAGAAACTGTACCTGATCTACTGTCACTGATATATACAACAACAACAAAAATATATATAAATATTCTCTATGGCTATATTACCAGCTACTGGACATAAACTTTTAATTGCTTTCTGTCAGTTGGATGGTTTTTGGATCTAGCCATAGAGTGAACGTTACCAAAATTGTTCACAAACAATGCTTTTTTTTTCATTCATGAACTGAGGTGCATACGCTGATTAAAAGGGTCTACAACCAGTCAGGTTCAACACAAAATACAAAACCTGTGCTAATTGAAATAAAAAAAGTTGACAAAAATATTGAATCCAAAATTTGGTGATAATATAACAAGAAATGTATAAGAAAGAATTTTTGAAAGGCTGATCATTTTTGACAAGGAACTCCAAATTACATATTTTCAGCACAGTAAAAGGGTTAAAGGGATAGTTCACCCAAAAATGAAAATTAGCCCATTATTTACTCACCCTCAAGCCACCCTAGTTGTATGACTTCCTTCTTTCAGATGAATCCAATTGGAGTTATATTAAAAATTGTCTTTGATCTTCCAAGCTGTTTAATGGCAGTCAGCGGGTGTTGCAGTACATCAGTCCAAAAGAAGCTGAATAAAGCACATCCATCCATAATAAAAAGTGCCTCACATGGCTCCGGGGGGTGAACAAAGGCCTACTGTAGCGAATCGATGCGTTTTTGTAAGAAAAATATCCATATTCAAAACGTAATAATCACTTTAATCTAGCTTGCGCCAACAGTTGTACACGGAAGCAGCTCCGGGAGGACACAGGGGCGGTTCTAGACCAAAGTAACTGGGGGGGCCAGACAGGGGCCACTTGTGCTTTTAGGGGGCACAATTTTGAAATTAATCTTAACCGACTTTAATTATGACCATTAACCATGTCATGTATCACTGCAATCTCTAGAAGTAATCTATAACAATTTCAACTAAAATTAATGTTTCATCATGTTTCATTTATTTGACAAATAATTTTGTATCATAGTGTCAGGGGCATCATGCACTCATTATTTTTGAGGGGGCACGAGTGAAGGGGGGGCGGGGCTCTCATGCTTGTTATATGACACACAGCAGCTACAATACCACTGTATAACTGATATAGGCTTATGTCCTTACTGAGAAAAAAACAAAAAAACAATAAAAACATCACAGAACATTTTAATGGTTTCCACTACAAATAACCATTACAAACATTACAAACCATCAACTTTTAACCATTAAAACCATTAAAAATGGTTTTCTGAAGTGTGTTTTGGGACATATTCCATTAGGATTTTTTGGTTTTAACAAGCCACCTATAGAAGGCAACCAATTACCAGTAGAGACCAACAGGGTCCATTACAGTTTCCAGGAAAACCAGTACAAGTCCCATTATAACCAGTAAATCCATTACAAATTTTGTAATGGTGTCTATTGTTTTTTTTCTTCAGCAGGGGTTTTATTAATTTTTATTTTTTTATTTGAAACATTCCCAAAATATATCATGAAATATCTTGATTCTCAAATATGTGTAAGTAAATGCATTTTGCACCTTTATAATTTAATTTCATTCACATGTTTCATAAACACATAATCCTTTATGGATTACAATCCGCCATCAAAATGATACATTTAATTATTCTGGCTGCTGTGAGAAAAGGCTATAAACCTACCCATACCACTCAAATTAGAAAACATTATCATAAACTAACCGTTGTGAATCGGGATAAAGTAAGGCAATAGTTTTGAACACTGGCTGGTTATGTACTTGCTCAAATATTGATTTCGGATCATTTTTAACCAAAAAAAATTACGGACTGCAGCTTTAAGTACCAGATATGGGTGTCATACCATAAAATATTTTAATACGACTGACTTTGTATTTAATGTGAATTTTATTAAAACATTGCTACTAATTAGCCTATAACACTTTCATTGTACAAAAAGAGAGCAAAGAGCGTTTACATTATCAAAGAACATTTTAACTTCAGTCCAGCGAGTTCAAGCACTCTCAAAAACTCCCATAATAATCTCTAAAGCTGTTTACATTGTGAAATTAATATCTTACATTCGTACATCTTCACTTTGTTGTTTTTGATGAGAGAATTAGCCAGATAATTCAGTCATGACTCATCTGAACACCTCTGATTGGTTCTTGCATTTATAAACTCAACAGAATCGTATGGGATTGATTATAATGCGCAGTGCTTTAAAAACGTGTCTCTAGCTCGGTTCCAGCCAGCGAACGCAGATTTGAATTTAGCAGCTGGTGATGTTTTTATATATATATAGTTTACAGGACAAACGCATTTCACCCAAAATTGTTTGGTGTGATATGATTCCAAATTTAGTGGGGACAAGCTTGTTGACAGGGGGGCACTGCCCCCCCCCCGGGAGGATGACGTAAAATGTCGGTAAACTAGATGAAATTATTACATTTTAAATATGGTTATTTTTCTTACAAAAACTCATTGATTCGCTACAGGAGGCCTTTGTTCACCCTCCGGAGCCATTTTATTATGGATGGATGCGCTTTATTTCACTTCTTTTGGACTGAGGCACTGCAACACCTGCTGACTGCCGTTAAACAGCTTGGAAGATCAAAGACAATTTTTTATATAACTCTTTTTCTATATAACGACTGGATTAGTCTGAAAGAAGAAAGTCATATACACCTAGGATGCCTTGAGGGCGAGTAATTCATGGGCTAATTTTCCTTTTTGGGTGAACTAACCCTTTAACATTTTAAATGTATATTATTAAAAAATATTATATATATATATATATATATATATAAATAAAATACAAAAAAAAAAACATCCTAAAGATTTTTAACAATTTTAAAACTTCATCTGTGCTTATTTAAGCAAAAGAACCACGAGTCCATCATAATCATTTAAGCAAATACAAGATTCATTATTTTCACCTTTGTAACCAGGTAAAGAATGAAAGAGTCTGTGATTCAAGTAGCATACAATTGTATCAAATTCCTGTTGAAAAGTCACGCAACTGTTAAGGAAAAAAAGTGGGAAAAAAAGACTGAATTAGGACAATATTTTTTTATTAGCTGTACAGCAATACATTCTCCACACCATCTTACCTCATATGACCTCTATACCCCACCCAGCCAAAATAAATGTATTTATAAGGTTGGTTTTCTGACCACTGTAAAATTCACACAGTACAGCTAGGTTAAAAAAAAAAGGAACCAAAAAAAAAACAATTAACCTAGATTTTTAAGAGCTTAAAAAATAAAGCAATTTAAATGCAATTACATGTTGGAGGAAAACTTCATTTTGAATCAGAAAAACAAAATCTGAAATAAGGACTTTGCTCTTTCGAACAAGTGACAAACTTTTTACAAATATACCATCCAAGCTTCCCCTTCTAGAAAGAGTTCATATCAAAATAGCTTCCTCGAACACTTGTATTTAACTTTAATTAAATGTGGTCTGAACAAACCTATTGTAAACGTTAATTCTCCTTTCAGAATCCCATGAAACTATTAACTCCGTTCACATAGAGCTTTATATTAGGGGGTTGTTGGGAACACGACCACGTCGAACAGATTCAAATGATTGGGGACGTGCACATCTCTGTACCTGGCCAGTTCTGTCCCTTTTCCTCCTTTTACAAAAGCTAGAAAAAAAAAAATCAAACATGGAAGCCTATTTGTCAGGTGGTACAATATTAAAGCCACTCTCATCGCCTTTAAGCAGTGATAAAAAAAAATGAAGCAACCCCTCCCTATCAAGCGAGTTGAGCAGACCAAATGCAACAATTCAAGCTACAGGAGGACAGAAAGAATGGGGGTTATACAACCTACATGATTCTTCAGGCTTTTATTTTTTCCCCACAAGTAATTTGAAAGCCTCCAGTGGCATGTTTCCAAACAACTACTGTTAAAAGCCATTGCCCTAGCATTCAAGGTCATCAATTCACTAGAAAAAGATTAAAATGTTCACTTGATAATCAGATGGCTACATTTCTACGCTCTCTAACATTATCAACTGTGAGCAGTGAAAGAGCACATGAGGAACAAACAGAATAAAAGTCATCATAAAATGTCAAACATTGAAGGGATTTTCTTGGACAGGTGGGGTAAAAACACCTATTTCTACAGCAGTGACGCCGATTCTAGATATCAAGGCTTGACCAGGCACAAAATTATAATTTCTCTATATTGCCATGGTAATTGAAATGACAAGTAAAGATGACAGGTTAGCTGGGTAAAGAAAACTATAGATGCATGTATTATACCACAATGTCGGAGACATTCCTGCTCTCAAAAATCATCTTGCCTCTCCTCATACAATGTACACAGCAAAAAGAAATCAGCAGTTGAACTACTGGTATGAAAAAAAAAAAAAAAAAAAACACCGGTAGAAAAGCGCAGTTTTGTGATCGTAATGAAAAGACAAAATGTAAGAAACTTCAGGACGTTCAGAAGTTGGGGTTTATAGTCTTTAAGAAATTTGATGCAAGATAAGAGGAGATTTAAAGGAGGTGAAGAAAGAGAAATGTGAGCATGTGTGTGTGTGTATATATATATATATATATATATATATATATATATATATATATATATATAAAATAGAGGGACAAATATTGGGATGTGCATTTATGCAAGCATTTGTGATCAGCCTGTGCATGTACACGTATCCCCAGATCACCGGTCCATCATGCTAAGGATCATTTCAGGAGTAAGATCACCGTTTGGCGCAGCTTCGGGTATGACTAGCTGCACTGTTTCTACACCAGCCTCGACAGCCTCCACTTCCTCCACCACTGGCTGGGCAGCTAAAGCTGCATCAACACCCTCAGGCTCCTTCTTCACAATGATGTTCTCAATGGCCCCTGTGCTTTCATCCTCCACCTGGATAATGGCAGCAGCTGCTAGAAACAGAGAATCGTTAAGTTAAACCCAGTTAAAAGAGGCTTTGAATGGTTTATCTTAATACGCAGCAGCGCACAAGTTACCTGTGGTGGTTTTGGCGACGGACTTGGTAGGAGAAGCCTTGGGTGCATTCTTGGGGGGTCTGCCACGTTTCCTCTTGACAGGCGGTTCAGCTGGCGCAGGGATGGGAACGCTGGGTGGAGCCTGTTCCACATCCATCTGGTCATCATCAAGAAGATCCTCATCTTCCTCTTCATCAATGTCATCAAGGTCAGGATCTCCATGCTCATCTAAGATATTCAGGTGACAGCGTTAAAATTCTCTTAAAACGGTAATGATTTATATTAGCACAATAAGCCATATCCATTCCATTCTGAAAACCCACAACAAAAAAAAAAATTTAGATAATCAAGTTCTTATTGACAGATTTTATGCAAGTGTTTGTTCAACTTCCAATACAACCACCAGCATAGTAGCAGAACTATGGCCAAGCTACTCACCGCTATCATCATCATCATCATCATCATCATCATCATCATCATCATCATCATCATCATCATCATCATCATCATCATCATCATCATCATCATCATCATCATCATCATCATCATCATCATCATCATCATCATCATCCTTTCTAGAGCGCATCTTCCTCTTTCGGCCCCTTTTGGGTGGAGCTCCATTCTCTCCATCACCAGAATCCATACCAGTGCAGTTATCTGTATGTCTGGCCATGGTATTCTATTTAAAACAGAACAAAAACATTTAAATTTGTTAAACACCAATTACTGTATCCAGCAGCACCCTGAAATACATCCGACTTCTTTCAATATACCATACCCTGCGAGTGAAGGTCTTGCCGCACTTGGTGCATACAAAGGATGTGGGTACAAAATTGGGGTCGTGATAGCGCCGAAAGTGCATGTCCAGCAGCTGTTTCTGTCTGAAAGTTTTCTCACATTGGCTGCAGGCATATGGCTTCTCCCCGGTATGGGTGCGCTTGTGCATGACCATGTGACGCTCCTGATAGCAAGAACAACAGAGTAAATGTGAAGCAGAGTTTCCTACACTTTGATTAATGAATGCTTATAAAACATTTTAATTTGGAGAGAATTTAGCATGAGCTGTCTGACCTGACGGCATGCATAGTCACACTGATCACACTTGAAGCGTTTCTCATTCTTGTGGGACTTCTGATGCTGGATGAGAGCGTAGCGCTCATGGAACACTGCATCACAGTAACGGCACTTCCTGCCCTGCTCAATGTAGGAATGCTGCTTACGGAGATGCACACCTGCAAGAGCCACAGTAAATGTGTAAACATCAATACACCACAAGTATATTCCAAGCTGTCAAATTGCTACTAAAAAGCACACACGTAACCAGCAACAACTATAAAATAGTAAATGCTGAACATTGCAGTTTTACCAAGATCACTCTTGCGGGCAATAACGGTGTCGCAGTGGGGGCAGTGAAATTTTGCCACATTTTCTGTGTGCTTCTGCAGTATGTGCATCTTCATGGTACCACTCTGGGTAAAACGTGCATGACAGATATAGCACTCATAGGGCTTCTCTCCTGTAGGACAGATAAAAAATTATTATTTTTTTTTTTTAAATCATCCCAATATTCACGTCAATTCTATTTCTCTAACCCATTTAGTTGCTGATCACACAATCTGAGAAAGATGGTAAGTGCTGCTGACCTGAGTGGGTCCTCATGTGTCTCTTCAGCTTATAGGTATCTCTGCTAGCATAACTGCACAGACTGCACTGGAACGGACGCTCTCCAGTGTGGGAGCGAATGTGGCGCTTCAGCTTGCTAACCTGCAAAGTTTCAAGGCTTAGGTCAATTTGGAAGCAACTTTCCGTGCAGAAAAAAATAAATCAACATGATACTCTCAGACCAACCTCTACACTGGCATAGTCACACATGGAGCACTTGAATGGCTTCTCATGAGTGTGCTTGTAGCGTCGGTGTCGCACCAGCTCTCCACTGGTGACGAAGGCCATATCGCAGTCAGTGCACTTATGTGGTCTGGTGCCTGTGAGAAAGAAAAAAGGAAAAAGACTGCTTCAATTTCCAAATTCACACTAGATAGTAGGGGTAGGCGCTATACCGGTATGAAAGTGACTACCGGTATTATTTTGTTCCATGATATGGATTTTGCTATACCGTAGATACTAGGGGTGTCAAAATTAATAGGGATGCACCGAATGTTCGGCAACCAAAATTATTTGGCCGAAAATAGCAAAAAACTTTATTTCGGTGTTTGGCCGAATAAGCGAATGTTGCTGGTTACTGTATGATGATTGAAATCGCGAAATGGCCTTAAACAATTAATAAATAAACTGCAGAACGTCATGTTTTCTAATACGGCGGATCTGCTTGTTAACCAGGGTTCAAAGTCCAAAGCGTGAGGAAAATCTGCGCTGATTATAGTGTTTGGGATCTGTAATATTTTCTAATGTTTTAAAAGTCTCTTCTGCTCAGCAAGGCTGCTTTTATTTGTACAGTAAAAAAATACATGCCTGATTCAAGAAGGGGGTTTGATGGCCAAACAAAATATTATTTTACCAACTTTTTTAATTTTAAGTTAAATTGTGCTTTGTTGGTATAATGTCTGCTAGAATGTTAAAAAAGGTTCAGTGTTAAATATCTTAAATTGTCGTTTTGTAATTTATTTTTTTTTTTTTGAAAAGCACGACAAAAGTGTAAAAAGCACATTTTGTCTATTTAATTTATGCAATAGTGAAAAAAAATTGGCAAAATACATGGGGGAAAAAAACTCGAAAAACCGTGTTCGGCCCAGTATTACATTTTGTTCGGTTTCGGCCAAGAATTTTCATTTCGGTGCATCCCTAGAAATTAATCATTTATTCGATGCATCGCGATGCAGACGAGGACGATTCGGTATCGGTTCAGTAACAGACCATTTTTTTTGAAAAGCAAGACAAAAGTGTAAAAAGCACATTTTGGCTATTTAATTTATGCAATAGTGAAAAAAAATTGGCAAAATACATGGGGGAAAAAAACTCGAAAAACCGTGTTCGGCCCAGTATTACATTTTGTTCGGTTTCGGCCAAGAATTTTCATTTCGGTGCATCCCTAGAAATTAATCATTTATTCGATGCATCGCGATGCAGACGAGGACGATTCGGTATCGGTTCAGTAACAGACCATAACCGATTATAACGCACTGACATTTTTCTGACGTCATTTGTCGCGGTAGCATACATTAGGCGCGTTCGGCTTGAAGCGCCGCTGTGGACAATGATCAGTGTATGACATCAAGTACCGCGAGAGCGATAAGAGCAGACAGATCCTTATGCTTTCGCAGTTGATGTCATACTCTCATCCTGCGCAGCACTGCTTCAAATTGAACGTGCCTAATGGCGGAGGGAGGCGAGACGCAAGTGCGAGTAATTAAAAAATGCTCCAACTACTTTAAAAGCCGACATCTGGCCACATTTCGGCTTTTATGAACAACCTGAGCATGACCTGGAGAAGACACACGCTGTGTGTAAATCATGTCACGCACAATTAAATATGTAGTGGGTAGGGATAGGCAAATGAAGCCTCGTGAAGCACTGAGGCTTTCCTCTGACATTTTCGGGAAAAGATTCAAAGCTTCGGGTGTCTTGAAAACAGCACCATCTGGTGCTTCTTAATAATATAGCAGCCAAAAGCCTGTGAAAGACACTCCGTAGGACGATGCATCTTCTGACAATTTCTGTCTCTGATAAATTCATTTACCCATTACACTGTGCAATTTAATACCAGTACACATATCAATATGATGTAATAGAAGAATAAAGTACACATATGAACTGCATATGACAAATACTGAATTTTTCTTAAATAATTTGTATTCTTCATATTACTTGTATGACTGGGTATCTAAAATGTAACTGATTAGTTTTAAATGTAACTGAAGTCCGAATTAAAACTTATTTGTAAAGTAAGTATCTAACGATTAATCGACTAATCATCGATTATTTCACTGATTAATCCGTAGACATTTATTGATTATTCAGCTTTTGCAATTAGTTAAAATATTGAGTTATACATATTCTAACAAATAAATTAAGGTAATCACTTCAGCTTTTGAAAGTCATATGGAATTACAATTAAACAATTAACTTATACAAATACATATCAATATGATGTAATAGAAGAATAAAGTACACATATGAACTGCATATGACAAATACTGAATTTTTCTTAAATAATTTGTATTCTTCATATTACTTGTATGACTGGGTATCTAAAATGTAACTGATTAGTTTTAAATGTAACTGAAGTCCGAATTAAAACTTATTTGTAAAGTAAGTATCTAACGATTAATCGACTAATCATCGATTATTTCACTGATTAATCCGTAGACATTTATTGATTATTCAGCTTTTGCAATTAGTTAAAATATTGAGTTATACATATTCTAACAAATAAATTAAGGTAATCACTTCAGCTTTTGAAAGTCATATGGAATTACAATTAAACAATTAACTTATACAAATAAATATATTTGGAACAAAATTGAGATGGCAGAGAAACTCTTATTCACCATTTAATTAGCTATATGAGAAAGTAGCTGAATGACACATCATTCTGCCTAAAATCTCCTTGCAAGTCCTATGGATAAGAAACAAAGGTTAAATGATGAGACGTTTTATTTTTGCATAAACTATTTTATTCACAACAATCTCTCTTAAAATACCTTATAGGGTTATGATAATCAAAACCGTCCTGAGCTAGATCAAGCTTTGATCTCTGCAAACCAAACTATAACTTTAATTAAATGTTTTTTTCCCTCACTAATAAAAAGATTTAGAGATGCACCGGTCGATCGGCATCGACCGATTTTCCTCATGATTGGCCCGGATCGGTCGGTCAGTCTCACTTCTTTCTGATTTTGAGCCGATCTGTTTTGTTACCAGCAGCACAGGTAATAACGTCAGCTGCACATTCTCACTCTCTTCTCTCCGACAACGACTCTCTCTCACACACGTCTCATTCGCTCCTGTTAAATAGTGCTTGTATTGCACATTATTTTAGTCATTCCCGTAGGTTTCACGCTTATACCAAACGTGCGCGCACCAGAACTGATCTATATTAGTGGAGCGCACAATCCGCACTCAGTCTCAAACAGCTTGTGAGCCACAAATACCAAAATGAGTGGCTAACTGCGCTAAAACGTTCAAATACATAAATGTTTTCAAAATGCCAGTTTTATTTATATACAGTGGGTACGGAAAGTATTCAGACCCCCTTACATTTTTCACTCTTTGTTATATTGCAGCCATTTGCTAAAATCATTTAAGTTAATTTTTTTTCCTCAATGTACACACAGCACCCCATATTGACAGAAAAACACAGAATTGTTGACATTTTTGCAGATTTATTAAAAAAGAAAAACTGAAATATCACATGGTCCTAAGTATTCAGACTCTTTGCTGTGACACTCATATATTTAACTCAGGTGCTGTTCACATTTTCTGCAATGGCGCGCACCAAGTCACACTTTCGTGCACGTCTTACAGACTCCAACTTACAATCACAACTTCATTGTGCTGTTACTCCTTTCGAGCCGAATTTCACAAAATTGGTCAGCTCCCGACAGCATCAGGTGTTTTATTAATGGGGAGCATAATTATTTATTTCAATGAATGTAATCGATTAGATATCATAATATTTAGGCTATTATAAATGTGGTTGTTTGTATTGGTGACATAATATGTAAATGATATGAGTGCAGCCCACAAGACTTGCACTTGGACCATAGTGCCGCCCAGTGGAAAAAAAGGTTGAGAACCACTGGTCTATGGTGTACACACTAGACCAGCGGTGGCGAACTCCGGTCCTGGAGAGCCGCAGCCCTGCAGAGTTTTGCTTCAACCCTAATCAAACACACCTGAACAAGCTAATCAAGGTCTGAAGGGTTACTAGAAAGCTACAGGCAGGTGAGTTTTAATTAGGGTTGGAGCTGTCCTCTGCAGGGCTGCGGCTCTCCAGGACTGACGTTCGTCACCCCTGCACTAGACAGACTCAACCTGTTGCGACGCGGCGGTGTCGCGTCCGGTGTAGACACGGTTCACTGTTCCACTACTGTCATTACACTTGTATACAAAACTTTGTATTATGCTTGTTATAGAGTGCGTGACGTCACGTGCACTACCGCCGGTGGCAGTAGACAAGCCACCGGCAGTAGTGCACATGACGTAGCTCTCTTTATTCTATTGCATTTATTTGTGCTGTTGTTTGAATTTTTTTTTTAATTTGTTCTTATTTTATTACTGACTTTTTACTTGTTATTTTATGAAAATAAAACTTAGCGTTGAAGAAAAGTAGATTTTTGTTTGTATATGCTGTCAATTATAGTTCTTACAAGAAAAAAAAAATCAGAATTGGCAAGAATCGGTAACGGCAGATTAAAATGATTTTTATCATTCGTTAGCTCCACACTGGAGAGCTGTTTTATAACAGAAAATCAAGTTGTAATTCTAACTGAAAGCAACACTGACGCTGGTTTTTCATGTTTAATGCTGTAACGCTGCTTGATTTAAGGCTATCTTTTGCATAAAGTACTATATACAGTGGGTACGGAAAGTATTCAGACCCCCTTAAATTTTTCACTCTTTGTGGTATTGCAGCCATTTGCTAAAATCATTTGTTATTTTTTTTCCTCATTAATGTACACACAGCACCCCATATTGACAGAAAAACACAGAATTGTTGACATTTTTGCAGATTTATTAAAAAAGAAAAACTGAATTATCACATGGTCCTAAGTATTCAGACCCTTTGCT